CCCAGGGCTGTGTGCCTGGCGGGGCCGTGTGCCCCGGGGGATGTGTGCCTGGGGAGGGGGGGGCGACGTGTGCCCAGGGGGAGCTGTGTGCCTGGGGGGGGGGGGCGACGTGTGCCCAGGGGGCCATATGCCCAGGGGGAGGGGGCGCTGTGTGCCTGGGGCGGGGGGATGTGTGCCCAGGGGGGACGTGTGCCCAGGGGGAAGCTGTGTGCCTGGGGGGACGTGTACCTGGGGGGCTGTGTACCCAGGGGGGTGGAATGTGTGCCTGGGGGGGACATGTGCCTGGGGTGGGGAGGGCCATGTGCCCCGGGGGGATGTGTTCCCAGGGTGGGTGGAGAGAGAGTGGCCTTGGTCATCTCCTTCCAAGGTCAGGGTGCCTCAGCCATCGCTGCATCGTCAGGACTTAATAGAGCAAAATACCTGCAATTTAGTTCCATCTCTGCCCACGCTCAATGCTGCCTGGAGACTCTTTCTCTTTCATTTTATTGCACAGTTCTCTTGGGGTTTTCTTAACTATTTTTCATACCCTTTTTTGTCATTATTGCAGTGTTATGGCTGGGGTCTCTCACCCCACATCCAAATCCTGAAGGTAAGTATTTCCCATATCTGGCTGGTTTCAGTTCCTAATCAGAGCCCTCACAAGTCACTGCCCTGTGTTTTAATACACACCTCACTCTGGAAAGTAGCGGTGGGTAACATGAAGCACACAGATTTCAGGTTATACCACAGCTTCGGGTCAGATCCTCCAGTCAATTCCTGATCTGTTTGTAAATGTCCTGGAAAGAATGTTAACTGGATGAAGGTGGTGTCTGATGCCCAGGACTAAACACCTCATCTCCCACCACGTTTAGGATCTGTTTGAAGATGCCGATGAGAAATGCTCCCAGTTTCATTGTCTCTGAGGCCCAGACTGTTATCTGCACTGCATGGAGGTGTTTCTGGAAGCTTCTAACCATGCAGGATGTGTCCTGGGAATTCACACCCCATGAGCATGGCAGAGCTCAGGCCACAGAGACATTGGAAACACTGAATTCCACTGATGATCGTCAATGATTTTGTCTTACATCTGCATTTATATTTTGTAATTTATAGAAAACTTAAAAATCAATGTCACCAGTTCTGTGGCTGAGATGCACACGTGTGTAACTGCGTGTCGGCCTAACAGCCCCTGGGGGGGTCTGCTGGTTGAGGTGCATGCTTCGCAGTGCCTCAGAACCCCAGGCACGCATCTCCAGCACTTGGCAGCTTCATCTAGCCACAAAACCTGAGCATCTCTCTCTCTGGAAGCTCATTAACAGGGCTAGTGGGGACTGGCCATGGGGCCCCCGTCCACTCGGCTCTCCCCTTTGCTGACACAAGGCTAAGTGCCTTTAAAGGGGCTTCCCCGAGGGTCTCAGCCCAGCCAGCAGTGTGCGCTGCTTCAGTCTCTCCATGAGTCTCCACTTTAGCAAACTTCTGAAGCAGTGAGGACCCACCTGCCGAGGCCAAGTGCCCGCAGCACATGGTGCTGACAGTGAGCGCGCCGGCTTTGCGTCCACTCCCTTTAAGAAAAAATGACAGAAAGACCTGCTCTTCTCCAGCTGGGTTTGGATGGAATCCCCACGTGGAACATTTGCAGGACAAGGCACCTGGACCTGTGAGCTGAGGCATCATCGGGAAGGTTCCATCACCACCGTCCTCCTCATCACAGGAAATCACCAGCTCTGGGATTACCGAGAACTGGGAAACAGAACTTCTCGGAAGCTGGGGACAGAGCATCCAGTCCTGCCACCCGCAGACCTGACCTCCCCGGGCCCCTCTGCTGAAGGTCTTTATGCCAAAGGACAAGGATGACGCAGAGCATTCACAGGTGGAGCCCCTGGGCGGCCCCTGCTGTAAAAAGCTGCTCACCTCTGCCTCCAGGGAGTGGCATAAACCCTGTATTCTTAGGACTCACTGAGGGCATACAACCTGCTTTATAAAATGACCAGATAATCCCTAACAAAGCTCTGATTGGAATCTTCCTGTTTAGAGAGATTCAGAAAACTTTACATTTGTGTTTTTACTACCCTAAGGATTCTCCACAGTTGTCCAGCTGCCATAAAAGTTTGATATTTCATTTGTGAAAGTAGAAAAGAAGGGTGGGACCAGGATTGCCATTCTTCAGTGTCTTTTTTCGTTCTTTGTATTTTTAGTGTATGGTACAAAATGCAACGTTTACAAGAAAGCCAGATGTCAATAGGTAAATCTATATCTACATCAGAAATACACCCTTCGTAAAAGTACCTATGTCTCCTAATCTCCTAATCTCCTATCTATGTCTTCTATGCATGAAAATGCCATAAAAGATCAAGGTTTTAAGGGGAAAAGTGCTTTTTCAAAGAAATAAATGCCAAGCAGGTTGAGATGATGAGTAAGGTTCATGATTACAATCTTTACTTCAACAAATCACACATGTTTGGCTTTTGTTTTGCTTTCTCTTTGTATTGTGGTAAAATGCACATAACCTAGACCGTGCTGTCTTGACCATTTTGAGTGCCCAGTTCATTGGCACGAAGCCCATTCACACACACCCCCCAGAAGGTGCCCCCACTTGTAAAACTCTCCCAGTGGGATGCCCCCCCCACAGCACTGACACCCTGGCCCCTCCCCCAGCCCCGGCTCCTGCTGCAACCTCTTCTGTCTTGATGAGTCTGATGACTCTAAACTCCTCATATACGTGGGATCATACAGAATTCGCACATTTGGTTTTTAAGAGGAAAAAAAAGGAAACATTCATTACAGAAGTTCTTCATTTAATCTGAGCCCCAAACAGACTTATTTTCATAATCACAATGAAATCTTATTATTCTGTTTCTAACACTATGTAAGTACATTCAAAGATGGCTTCTAAAATAATAGCGATAATAATTTAAAAACCAAGTTTTCACTTAATTTTTGGTTGTCTAAGCTTAGCTTGGGTCCCCTAGCTGGTTTTTATAAGCTTGAAAGCAAGCCAGTCTCTTTAGAAAAGATTTTTTCCCCCCCTTGGGGAGTTTATGATTCAAGGGACTGGAAACAGGATATGGAGATTTTTCACATGCTGCCCCTAAGCCCCAAGCAGACCCTAGTTTGGAACCTAGAGAAACGCTTTGTGAACCCAGTATTGGAGGCTGGTGTTTGTGGCTGGAGCCTTGACACTTGGCTGTGGGCCCATCACTTCGCCCACGCAAGATGAAGGTTTGTCCAAGAGAGAAGGGAGGGACCGTCACACACAAAAACACTGGACATTTGATGTCATTTGTTCTCTAAGACGATGCCCAGTAGCTGCTGAGGGTGCTGGTAGCTCACTGGTGAGCCTGACAACGGGTCACAGAAACAGTGCCCAGGAGGCAGCCGCAGAGGGGAGGCTCGGGCTCATGGGGAGCTTCTCCGTTTCACCTGCACTTGTCCCTGGGCACATCCTGACTGTCTTCAGACACACGTGAATCAAGGCACAATTTTACTTTGAATAACATCAGAGACATAGAGCTTTAAAAAGGGAAAACATAGCTCCAAGATTTTAAGACATAGAACAAACTGGAGAGATTCCATAGATTTACCTAAAAATACTTAGGCCTAATAAAATTTGCTTGGTCTAAGAAAACTATGAGAGCTCTCTCAGCCAAAACAACTGTAATAAATCTAACCTCATCTTTCAAAACTGTATTCTTGGACAACAGAACTTCATAATATTGGATGGAATCCACAGTAAACCGATTCTTCTTAAGCTTTAGTGAGTGTGTGGTCCTTTACCATGAAAAAGATGTAACTTGGTTTGTTAGGGTTTTATAATTAAATCAAACCTTGAAACACATTGAACAGAACAGATAGCTGTGTGAAAAATATTAATTACTGCTCAGAGAGAATAAATGTCAGGTAGGCCGTTATTTTCCAAAACCTCAGAATCAGCCTCTATAAGTATTAATAGCCCAGTATAAACAGGGTGTCTTTCTTCCTCCTATAGCAACTTTGTTTTCCAAACGTGACCGTTCTTGTAAACGGCCCCAGGCCCATCTGTGAGGGATCCACAGAGGGAAACCACCCTGAAGAGAAGCAGCTGAGACCGCTGACCAGCCGAAGCAAGAACACCAACCCTGAAGAAGGAAAACATTCTGTTCTCTTTGCGCCAAAGCTTATAATTAAAGCAAACATCTCAATCTGAACCCATGTCCCTGAGGAGAAGATTCTCCGTTTCGTTAAGCAAATATTCCATGGGAAGTGGTACTTTTCCAAGAAGTGACTCTTGGCGTGCACGCCGACGTGGACCCAGGCCCGCGGCTCTGAGTGGCGCCTGTGGCCGCCTCGTGGCCACCGGTTTTACACCCAGATATCTCTGGACAGCGTTCTGTTCTCTGCACCTACACCTCCAAGCCACCATCATCTCTTGCCTATATTTTCAGGAACCTCCTAAAATTAAAAAACCAGATCCCTGCAGCATTTTGCCCTCTATTCCAACCCCATGTCCATGATCCAGCCAGAGTGGTCGCCTTAATCCAGAAACGTAAACGACTTTGTGGCACCTCAGCTCACCCTCCATCAAAGGCTTCCCCATTAGTCTTCTGATGAAAGCCGAAGCCCGATGTGTGGCTTACTCTGAGAATCCTGGAAACCTGCGTGTGATGCCCGGCAGTCATCTGTGGGCTCATAGCCCGTCAGCTTAGTTTGTGACGGTGGCAGCAGCACAGAGCATCACACACACGCCTCGTACCCCCGCGAGTCACGGGCTGAAGCTCTGCTCAATGCTGCCTGTGCTCTGAAGGATGGCGTGTCACCAGCTCCATGAAAGAGGAACAAGAAAGGTGGTGGACCACCATCTGACTCTTGAAGTTTCTGTCCAGAAGCGACCGAGTCCAACACAGAGCCTCCCCACAGTGGGGAGCCCTGCACAGGAGGGGGTGGAGTCTGGGAGCAGAGTGATCCGAATCCCCGCACTCTCTGAAGGCTCAACGTCCTTCCAAGCTACCCCGGGAAGGGTGAAGAACACAGGCTGAATGCAGGTCTTAGCAGGGTGGTCTCAGCTTGACCCTGAGATGGTGCCCGAAGCTCGCACTGCCCCGGCAACAGTGTTTTCCGGGCAGGAGCTCCAGCTCCACCTCCAGCACCGGGTCACGGTCTGTAGGAAGACAGAGAGCCCCCAGGCGGCAGCAGAAAGTACCTGGAGCTTGTGGAATCTAACAGACAAGCCCCTGCGGGTTGGGGGAAGGCCTCTGACACACCTGTCGGCACCTTCTCAAGCTGGTTCTCACATGGGTAGATGACAGTGATGCCGAAGTCCCTGAGTCCTGTCTGAAGGTTGTAAGTTCTCATCTGCACATGCAGAGAGCAGTCCGGACAGCAGAGATTATGTGAGCAAATCTCAAATACTCTTACGATTCAACATCGGGTTATTTTCTCTTAATAATATATAAGATGACCAACAGAAAACGCCCAAAGCAGGGCTGGAACAGAAAAACAGCTTTCCTCTGAATCGTCTCTGCCTGTCTTAGTGAAGCAAATATACCAAATATACCATGAAGTAACCACTTTCAACACTTTAGCAGTTTTTCATATTATTTCCCTCAATATCGTGAATAAAGTGTTTTGAGATCATTTCCCATGATGTTTCTGGAACTTTGCAGGGATGCATCTTGGTGTTGTGGTTCCTTCATCTTTTGACTGCACAGTCAGCGTGCACATGCATGCTTGCTCAGTCATGTCTGACGCTTTGAGACCCCGTGGACTGCAGCCCACCAGGCTCCTCTGTCCATGGCATTTCCCAGGCAAGAACACTGGTGTGGCTTGCCATTTCCTCCTCCAGGGGATCTTCCCGGCCAGGGATCAAACCCCAGTCTCCTGCAGCTCCTGCACTGGCAAGCAGATTCGTTACCTCTTGGGTCACCTGAACAGTCAGTGGACTCTTTTAACCTGGAGTTTCCTGTCCTTAAGTTTTAGAAATGTTTCTTATGTTAGTCCTTTGATGCTTTATTTCTGTTTTCTACTTTGTAAGTCTTGTGAATCGACTGTTGTAGCTTCTAAAAAAAGAGCCCTCAGTCAATCCGAGCAGGCTGCTATGATAAACTGACAGACTGGGCGCCTGAACCACAGAGGCTCCTTTCTCGTGGTTCCAGGTGCTGGAAGTCCGAGAGGCAGGTGCTGGCAGACCCGCCGTGTTTAGGGGACTCTCCCCCTGGTTGCAGACGGATGTTTCTTTGTGTCTGAGCACAGTGGCGAGCATGTGGGGGGTCCCGGGCCTACACCCCTTCTCAGGGCGCCAGTCCCACCACGAGGCTCCACTCTCACAGCCTGACTGCCTGGAGAGGGCCCAGCCCCAGATACAGTCGCACTGGGGTCAGGGTTTCCACACATGGATTCTGAGGGGCCACAGACATCTGGTCAATATAGGAATCTAAATGTCAAACCTCTTTTCTTTTTAAATTAAATTTCTAAATTCTTTTTTTCTGTTATTGTGCTTTCCGGGAAATCTCTCCCGTTCCCGTTTCCCGCTCCCTCCTCCTGCTTCTGTTTCTGCTTTTTGGTGTTTTGTCCAGAAGCTCTTCTCCAAACACTTTCTCTGTAGCATCGTTCTCCCTTTGAATGCAGTGCGTCCTCTTCTCCTGCTGAGGACAGGAACTACATTCCGACTGAGGGCCCTGGAAAGACGGTCTCTGAGGCTTTCCCTGTCCCGCATGCCAGCAGACAGGCTCCTCTGACAACAAGAGCAAGCCCGAGGATCAAGCCCGCGGCACAGCGCTGTGGGGCCCACAGCCTCGCCCGCTGCGGGCCGTCTCCTGCTCTTTGCACCCTTCCTGTCTGTCCCGTTCTGTCCTCCTTTCTCTGCTCACAGATCATTCTCAATCTTTGACTTGTCTCTGCCTTTCAGGTTTTCCATTTCCTTGGGGAAATTGCTCATATTTGAAAATAAAGCCAATCAGAAACCATGTGAGAAGCTTGTGAAATGGTGAGCTTCCTGGCAGCGAGGGGTCTGAGCTGTTCCCACCCGAGGCTGTGGCCTCGCTCATCCTGCGCAGGACGCTTTCTCTGAGGACGGTCCTCCAGCCCCTGCCCGCGTGCTGAAGCCAGCAGCTCTCTTGGCACAGTGAGGAAAGGCCCGCAGGGACTCCTGCCCCGAGGGCCCTGGGTCTCCAGGTCCAGCGTGGCCTCCAGGCCCCAGGGCTGGGCCCCGCTAGCAGCTCCTGCTCACACAGCCTCGGGAGCGTCCTTCTTGACCAGGCAGGAGCCAACCACTCTGTGGGCCTCAGCTCTGCCTTCTCAGCCCAGAGCAGCGGCTCCCGTGACTCGGGTGCTTCTGACACTCAGGGCTGACTCTCTGCTGGGCCTTCTTTCCTCCCAGCTCTGCGTGTGTCCATGACACCGTCTTGGCGTCACCGTGAAACAAACACGCCCGCTCCAGTTGGTGTGGCCTCTGGGATCAGGCCTTTAAGTGCAGCTGCTTAACGTAGTCGACAGTGTCCCTAAAGCACCAGAAAAATAAGAGTACCGTGCAAAGGGAAGAAACTCTGAGGGGGTAGGGGGAGGACTGGGAAGTTTCCAGAGATTCAAACAATGTTCCTCCTGGAAATGAGTAATAAGACAAATCAGCCATTTGTCAAAAATTATCACGATTAATGCCACAGATGCACACACCGCAGCACCACCACCACTCAAGTAGCTGAGCCGGAAACCATCGACACCCTGGTAACTGGAAAGCCAGACAGTTCTGTAAACTCCACGCTCGCTTGGAAGCGGGAACTCCCGGCCACTCCGCATCTCCTCCAGACCCGTCTTCAAGGGCAGCGGAAAGCTCACCAAGTGTTTCTCCCGCTGGAAACACCCATGGCCTCGGACCTCCACCCTCAGACCATCTTGGCTCCTGGGTCCCTTCTCTCCTCCTGGTCACCCACCTGACCGCCAGTGATGAGGGCGGGCCTGAAAAGCAGGTGGCTGTGCGGTGTCGCATATCTAGGGAGTGGCAAGGCCACTTGGATCAGAACCCACGTCTGTGTGACCTGCGTTCTTTCCACTGCGCCTCGCTCACAAGAGAAAATAGCTTGTGTTAATTATTAAAGTCAAACCCGAACCCACATAGTCAACCAACTAGCGTGTTTTTCACTGTGCTGTGAACAGCGGCATAAGTCTGAAGTCTCAGGAAACAGCCCCTCGGAACTGGGGCCGGGACTCTTGGGCACAGGGCCGTTAGGCCCCACACCTGCCCTGAGTACCATCCACAGCATCATTCATCCTGCCTTAGAACAGAGGCGAAAGGACATTTTTAAGATGCTCCAAAGCTGAGAGTCTTAGGAATAGCACTGTAACATGTAGTTTTTATTGCCATTGTTAAACGAACAATCTATTATCTGTAAAGCAATATTCATCAGATTATTAATTTGATACGTGAAAAATAACCATTTTTGTTCGTAAGTTTTATCTTGATTTTAAAAAGTTGCTATTGGTTGTCTAAATATGAAGCTGAAACGATCCCGCTGGTGACTCGCTTGTTAGAATCTGCACTGGCTGGCTGGCTCTTCACCAACATGATCACTGACATGAACACCGACTTTGACAGCGGCGTGAGCAGGGCCACCTGGAACCTGTGTCTCCAGCAGCTCCGTAATCTGAACCCGGGGGCTGGGGGAGGAAGAAGCACTTAGGCACAGAAGGTAGGTGGGAGCTGATGGCGGGAGGGAAGAGGAGAGGAATTCCTAGCAAGGAAAGTGGTCCCTGAGGCAGTGACCACCACTGGTCACCACACAGCAGCCTCCCCTTTCCTCCTTAGGCAACTGCCTGTGCTGTTGGGAAGAGCAATCCTCTTAGCCAACACTGAGCTCACAAATGGAAGTTATCAGGAGTTCATGCCAGGAAGGCTTCTTAGGCAACAGGGAGCTAAGTAAAGTCCATTTGCCACCATCCTTCCTCCTGACTGGAAGCAGATGCAATTGCTAAAGCTCTAGCAGCCATGTTGTGACACTGAGGATGGAACCAACACAGAATACTGGTGGAACGGAAAAGCTAAAAGCAGCCCAGGTCCCTGGCCACTTCATGGACCATCCCAGCAGGACTTGCCTGCCCCCTTCTGGCTCTTTCCCATGAGGCAATAATCCTTGGGGGTTTAGGGCTTCTGTTATTGCAGCCGAACCTTGACCTGATAGCTCGTAACAGGAAGATTTCTCCCTTCAACGTTGTTAGTATTTGCCTTACATATTGAAGTGCTCCTTTGTTGGGTGCATGCATGCATGCTCGATCACTTCGGTCACATCTGACTCTTTGCAACCCTACTGACTGTGGTCCGCCAGGCTCCTCTGTCCATGGGATTCTGCAGGCGAGAATGCTGGGGTGAGTTTCCATGCCCTGCTCCAGGGAATCTTTCCAACGCAGGGATCAAACCCAAATCTCCTGTGTCTCTTGCATTGGCAGGCAGGTTCTTCACCCACTAAGCCACATGGGGAAACTGTGTTGGATGCATATATATAACTGTTATATATTCTTTTTGGATTGAACCCATGATCATTACATGTAGTGTCCTTATTCTTCTCGAAATCTTAAGAAACCTAAGTGATAAAAGGAATCCTGTCTTTAAAGTTAGTGTGAGAATGTTACCCCTCCAAATTTGATTAGTTTTAGGTTATATTTATCATATTTGCAGTATTTTTCATGGAACATAAGGATGGAAGGAGCCTTAATGCTTTTTTTTTTTTAGTGTAACTGTGCTTTTGCTTTACTCTTGTTTTTACCATTGTTGATGAGGTACTGTCTCTGTTTTTCCCCTTGGCGAAGATAGTTTAGTACTTCAGTTATAGTATACTGTGCATGTCACATGCAGTCGGTCAATGTGTACATGAAGCACACTATGACAGAAGGCTTTTGTGGTTATTGTATCTTGTCATTTAGGCAAATCAGGTTTCGAGGTGACTCATTTGATGCTGCTCCCTAAGTCAGGAACACTCTCACTGGTTATAGTGTTTTTCTTGTGACAAAATGAGAGCAGCCATTGTATGAGCTCAATACATTAAATTCCATTCAATGAACATTTTTTGCCTAGTGGCAAATTCAGATGTGGCATTTCTTCTAACAATGTTGTGGGTTAGAAATTTGTAGACTGCCCTGATAGGAGAATTTGTGCAGAGAAATTTAGGAGCAGACAGAGTATAGAGGGAGCTTCCCCTGTGGCTCAGCTGGTAAAGAATCCACGTGCAATGCAGAAGAGCCCGGTTGGATTCCTGGGTTGCAACAATCTCCTGGAGAAGGATAGACAACCCATACAGTATTCTGGGGTTTCCCCGGTGGCTCAGACGGTAAAGAATCCACCTGCAATGCAGGAGACCTGGGTTCGA